TTGTAAACAGGTGTCTCTTTAACTTGGCCGCTGAACAGCTTCTTTTTAAATCCTTTATAATATGAACTTCGTTTTGGTCGTGGCTGGCAAAATTTTCCGACGGCTAATTTACCTACTTCCCGTCAGTCTATCGAGCTATAACTTGGCACATAGACTCGTTGCCGATGACATCACATTCCCTCACATTTTCAACCCCAGCCCTAAAAAAAAATGTTTTTCGCGAGAAAGATGAAAGATAAATGATGGCCCTGATTTCACGAAATAAAATTTCTGATAACTGCGCTGAATGAGATTCTTTTTTAATATAACATAAAATAAAATTATCGCAAGTGCGTTTGGTGCGTAATACATACAAATCTATTTATTCTTTTCTGAAATAGATAATGAAATAAATCTGCGGTGTAAAAGCGAGTGGGTCATTCTACTACTAATAAAGTTTAGAGCGCGTGACAAAATGTGCGTTTGCGAGATTGTGGTGAGGTGCGCTCATTGGCACTCTCATGATTGTGGTGCCATGGGGTGCCATGTGGTGCGCTCATTGACACTCTCATTATTGTGGTGCCATGGGGTGCGCTCATTGACACTCTCATGATTGTGGTGCCATGTGGTGCCATGGGGTGCCATGTGGTGCCATGGGGTGCCATGTGGTGCCATGGGGTGCCATGTGGTGCCATGGGGTGCCATGTGGTGCCATGGGGTGCCATGTGGTGCCATGGGGTGCCATGTGGTGCCATGGGGTGCCATGTGGTGCCATGGGGTGCCATGTGGTGCCATGGGGTGCCATGTGGTGCCATGGGGTGCCATGTGGTGCCATGGGGTGCCATGTGGTGCCATGGGGTGCCATGTGGTGCCATGGGGTGCCATGTGGTGCCATGGGGTGCCATGTGGTGCCATGGGGTGCCATGTGGTGCCATGGGGTGCCATGTGGTGCCATGGGGTGCCATGTGGTGCCATGGGGTGCCATGTGGTGCCATGGGGTGCCATGTGGTGCCATGGGGTGCCATGTGGTGCCATGGGGTGCCATGTGGTGCCATGGGGTGCCATGTGGTGCCATGGGGTGCCATGTGGTGCCATGGGGTGCCATGTGGTGCCATGGGGTGCCATGTGGTGCCATGGGGTGCCATGTGGTGCCATGGGGTGCCATGTGGTGCCATGGGGTGCCATGTGGTGCCATGGGGTGCCATGTGGTGCCATGGGGTGCCATGTGGTGCCATGGGGTGCCATGTGGTGCCATGGGGTGCGCTCATTGACACTCTCATTAAGCGCATTACTTGTAGGCATGTTTTTTTTAAATTTTCCGCCCCCCCCCCCCTTTTTTCCATTGATAGATATTATATTTTATAAATCATTTATACGAAAAACTTCGTTTTTTAGAGTTGTTTAAGTGATGTACATGTTTCACCTAATGTGTCACTTCAATGGCGTTCATTTCCTACTTACTCCATCATTAATATCATTCACACACAATGACATTTACACAATTTGACATTCACACACAATGACATTTACACAATTCGATGTTCACACACAATGATGTTTACACAATTTGACTTTCACACACTATAATATACAAACATTATGCTATTCACACAATATTTAAAAAAAAAATAGTTCTTAAATGAGACAATGAACAATGAGTTTCATGTATAAAAATACGTGCATTTATAGCATGTTTGTATATGTTTATAAATATAAATCATGCGATTGTAACATTTATAATCGTAAATCCTAACATCATATCACCCAGTGCACTTATGAAGCAGCTACATAGCCATAAATGCAACAGTTGAGTGTACTTATGAATGTACATAGCCTTAAATAACTTATGAGTGTACGTAGCCGTAAATGTAATAGTTGAGTGCACTTATGAAGCAGGGAACATAGCCGTAAATGCAACAGTCGAGTTTACTTATGAAGCAAGTACATAGCCTTCAAAGCAACAGTTCAGTGTACTTATGAAGCAGGTACACAGCCTTAATGAAATGCAAATAGTTCATATCAGGAAAAAGAATTCAACATTTTCCCCTTCAGTTAAAAGATCATTTATGTAACCAATTTTTATAATAAAAAGTTGTTGTTAATGAGTACATAAGAATGAGGTAGAAATTCAGACAAAAAAAAATAAATAGTGTACGAAATAAAAAAAATTTCCTAAATCAATGTTGCCCAACCATTTTTGCCCCCTCCCCCCTTTTCATATCCGACATGGTTGCCAACTCACTAAAATAAAAATTTCACCAATATTGTTTTGTAAAGATCAAAATTTTTGAGTGGGACGAACACGCTTCAGATTAAACTTTTTGAAACTAGGATCGTTGAACAACGGAAATATCCGTACAACTATGGTGATGTGACACTACGTCACATGACCCTATGTCATAGGACTCTGTGCCGCTTGACTCTACGTCACATGACCCTATGTCATAGGACTCTGTGCCGCTTGACTCTACGTCACATGACCCTATGTCATAGGACTCTGTGCCGCTTGACTCTACGTCACATGACTCTATGCCACATGACTCGATGTCACTTGATTCTAAGTAACATGATCAAACTGTATAACGTCGGTTTTCTGTCTCTGACAGTACGCAGTAAAAGCCCGCTGTAAGAAACCCCAAAGGATGAAATATACCGTATTGTTTTGTTTCAAACGATTTCTTTTTTTTTTTTTTTTAAAAAAAGTTTTATATTTTAATTCCAGACATCCTGATGTTCTTGAGAACTTTTTTAGGAAAATTCAGTGTATGCCCCCTTTTTTTTTCGGAATGTCCTTAATTTTACGGATGGTTACCAAGTGTAACTCCTGTTACGAGAGCACCTAAAATGGTTTAAATATCCCCCCCCCCTTTTTTTTTAGCTAAGTGGAAGAGCTAAAAAAAACCACAGAGAGAGAGAGAGAGAGAGA